AGAGAGCCACTTATTGTTCAGAATATGAGCAGGGTCACAAAGTTTCTCTCCAAAGAGGAAGGCTTCCTTGTAGTGCCTACGACCATCTCTACTAGCCCACTGCCAACTCTGTAGAGAGGGAACACCATATACAATCTCTCACTGTATGCATCCAAGTGATCAGGTCAAGGAGTCTGGTGAAAGATGGGATCATGGGAAAAGATGAGGACAGGACAGAGCAGCCATGTGATCTCTCAGGTTTATTCATTTGTTCAGGGGATGTTCATAACGGAAGGCCAGAGCTTTATGTATTGGGACCATAGCGGACTGTATATCTGACAAAACAAATGAATGCTAATTTTTATAAGAGCCATGTAGTTCTAAAATTTTTACAATGAGCATTACAACAGTTTAATGTTCCAGACCCAAACTTCAGATCAGATTGAGACAAAGAAAACCTATAATTGCACACTCCAGGAATTTACTTTCATAAAGCTAAGATATTAAAGCTGTACTAATCAATATTTTTATATTAACAACAGATCACATAACTTTGTGTAAAGTAAAAGGAGTTGCTGGCAGGGACAGACCTACAGACAATAATCCCAAGACTCTGTCCTCGGCTCTGTGGATTATTTTAGTTAATGTTTTTGTTTTTATGGCCACAACGTTGCTGCTTTGGCTCTGTCCCACTGCTCTCTTTCAACCTGTTCCACAATCAGCTGGCAGCTCTGATAAGCCCACTGGAAACTAGCTTCCCAGCACCAAACAGCAGCAAGACAAAGGTGCTGCTGATGAACTTAGCAGACCCCAAAATATACTGCCTTTTAGTCCCCAATATTAAGTTCAGAAAAGACTTGATACTAAATTTCCCATAATGCAACAATTCTCTTTTTTAATTACACCTTTCCTGCCCAGTAAAATGCAAACATCTTTCGCATTTCTCAGTCCCAGATTGAAACACAGATTTTTTGTTATACATCTGTAGTTTCCTAGCCTCAGCAGGGGCCATTCTAACTGGTCAGAGCATCTCCAGAGCCACAGATGGCATTAAAATGGTTTTACAGGATGAGAAGTACTCCCATGACTCGTAAACTGTTTTTTCTAGAAGTAAAACTGGTAGAATTCCCCTTTAAAACTGTCCCCAAAACTAATGACACATATCGCCATGGTTAAGTTTCCTATATCATGTTGAGGTAAAACAGAATGAAGCTTGATCCTTTGTGAATGTATAAAAACCAGCACTTTTCTCTGGGTCTGTCTCACATCTGTGGTGGGCTCTGCATTCATCCCTGACATCTGAATAAACCTCTGGGTGGCTGAAGTTACTGATGCAGTGTGTTCAGGTGGTGCGGTATATTCTTCTGCAGTTCATGTTACATTTAACTTTTTTTGACGAAAAAGACACTGTCCCATGTTGTCCTGACAATGTCAGTTATCTTTCTAATGTAGTTGACCAAATTTCCAAAATGTTTACATCAGTTTGAGAAGGAGGAAAACTCCAGGTCAGTCCAGCTGAACAATAATCTGTTGCATTTCATATCAGTGGAAAGCATGTCTGTGAACTTCCTGCGCAGTGGTCAGCATCTGAGCTGATTTGGTTTGCCACTAATCGAAAAGGTCTACCTCCATTCTCACTGCTTCAATACTTCATGGGCACTTTGATTTCATAGCTGTCGAGCTTCCGTTTTATGTGACATATCTGTGTTGACCTGAAATCTCAGCGCATGAATGACTTACAATGTGGCACAGCGACGTCTCATTTCTGTCTGCGTTGGAACTCACATCTAATGCAGCTGTGCAAACCTATGCAGATGTCTTCTTGTCATCTCAGCTGGTTGTTGGGAAGGATCATACCAAATAATGATTTTTATAAACAGTTGAATATGTTTGGAAGAAATCGATATATTTATAAAAAAAAAAAAAAAGAATACATTTTGAATGAAAATGTTTTTTAAGAGAGAAATATCACTGAACATTGTTATTTGTAGGTCCTATGTTCACGTGTGTCCTAACAGTGAGCAGGATTTCCACTGGTGTGTGTAACCTTATCACTCATATGTTATGTTTCTTTGACTGTTTGGGTGTAGCGTGCAGTAGCAAGAGATAATCATTAGCACGTTTGTTCAAATTTTGAACTAAAATATGATGCATAATTTAAGAGGAAAGACCCCCGAAGACTCAAAAGTCTTAGTTATTAATCTAAGAACAATACAAAAACAGCAAATTCATCACCAGGTTCAGACCACTTGGTACCACCCCTTACAGACAGTTTATAAGTACATGGCTTCATTAATGGTTAATAAATTGTTGACTATTTCTTTATAAGTATTAGGTAGAAAACCTTTAGGTTGCAAGGTTGTGAAAAGCTCCATGGCTGCTGAGTTATTCGTAAAGTCAACAACCAAAAGACCAAATTCTGCATTTGTGAAAACGTTCATACATTAATTTTGGTCCAGATGCTCTGCCGTCCTTTTCCAGGCAGTAAGAAGTCAGTTGATTTATTAGACAAGTCTTCCTAGTGAATTAAAGAGAGAAGTGTCCTGCTGGAGGAGGATAACACCGGCATTAGAGATTTATCACAACCTAAAAACCTAGAATTTACCCAGGGAAGCCTCATTGACATTGAAAGCGTTTTTTTCTGGAGTGACTTGGCAACACTAACAGTGAGTATCTACTGCTACATATACAACAATAATATAACTATGGCCTAGCAAAAACACAAATGTAGAAATACTTGAATCTTGAAGCGTTTACATAGTAATGATCCTCACAAAGAGAAAGCAAATTTAGCAATTTTAGATCTGCAGAGGCTTCCAGGCATTAGTTAGTGATTGATTAACCATTAATGCATCCATTAAAGATTCCAGATAAAGGGTGTCTTATTAGTTCTGTTACTGCTGCTGTCTGAAGGGATGTGATCACAAACAAAATAGAAAGATGTTCCTTTTCCAGGCAGAAATAAATTGAAACGGTGATGATTGATAGGTGAGGAAAAGCTTGGATCAAACAGCAGTCACTCCTGCCACAGCCACACTGTCTTTTCTCTCGTTTCCTGTTTTATTTTTTGGTAACATATTTGGTTCTGTCCATATTATGTCCTAATTACTGTTTAGGTTTCTTGTTTGCTTGGATTCTTAAAGACTATACAGATGCATTTTCCTATTGAAAGCATTTTAAAACGCCGTCTGCTGCGTGTCTCTGTGGTAAACATCCCGAGGCTGTTGAGTGTGTGCTGCAGCGCCACACAGACACGCCACTGGGTCTGTGTGTGTTTTCTGTTGCTTGTCTCCACTCAACCAGATGCTGTTCTGGAAATGAACGCTTTTGGTGGACTCATTGTGCTCCCTGCGAGTGCTTCCATTCACCACTGAATAACAGCACTGTTTCAGTTCACAGAATGCTTAAACTATTCAAAATATTTATCATGCAATTTTCTTTCTTTTTTAACAAATAAATCCTTTACAATCTACTTGACTCCCCTGATTTGGGCTAGTGGTTCTCACAGTCATCCATGCTGGAAATAAGGTGATAATGTTTTATTTTACCGTTTAACAATGCGACCAGCATTATCTACAAAGAACAAAACAGCAGCATGGAGGTGGGACACAACAACAGCTTTTTTAATTGGTATTATATGTTTGGCTAACTGCACAATGAGGACAAGCAAGCGCCTGAATGAGCAGCAGTAGTATCACAACACAAACTAAGTGTTACCTGCTAGCATGATAACATCCATCCATTAGCTAAACCGTTTATATAGTAGTAATAATGTTAATATAATAGTGTCACAGGGGGGAGCCTATCCCAGCTGACACTGGGTGGGAGGCGGGGTTCACCCTGGACAGGCCACCAGTCTATCACAGGGCTGACATGTAGTCAAACAACCACACACACACACACACACACACCCTCACTCCTATGGGCCATTTAGTCACCACTAAACGTAAGCTGCATGTGCTTGGACTGTGGGAGGAAGCCGGAGTAACCAGAGAGAACCTACACAGGCAAGAGAACATGCAAACTCCATGTAGAAAGGACCCAGGTCGGCAGGGACTTGAACCCAGAATATCCTTGCTGTCAGGCGAATGAATGTTAGTGTGCTGATGTCTGAGAGCTGCTTGCTGTTGATTCTTCATCTGGTTTAAATTAATTTCCAAAGGAACTGCTGCAACTTGTGGCAATAAATCTAAGTGATCTCTTCAGCCTCTTGCAATGGATATACTTATTATAATATTTAAAGTTTACATCAGTTTTTTATCAGATATTTTGTGATCCACATTTTGTGATATGTTAGTCTTTACGGCCAGCTGGAGCTCAGGAGCTCAGGAGCCAGAGCAGGTCATCCACTAGTCAGTGTCAGTGTGTGTGCATAGATTTACAGATTTATAGGTTTTCTAAAGACAAAAATGTAAACATGAACATGTATATTACAAAAAGGAGCCAATCAAATTTACAGGGACTGATATAAGGAACACAACCTTCATGTTTCGTTTCACTATAGTTTATCATTCACAGCTCCTTCTCACAGGAGATATTTTGATTTGACAGTGGAGGAAAATCACAGGTGGAGCTAACAAACAGGACTCTGCCCCAGCAGTTACTGCAGTACAGAGCGTAACTTCATGTTAGTAGTTACATACTTTGTGTTTGACAAGTCAGGCCCTCCTTTAACTTTAGAATCACTTTGCTTTTCTGCTTCAGTCACAGCAGTTTGACTACCAAAGTTTTAATCTGAATATTGAAGTTCTTTCTGTAAGACTGACATCCTCAATTATTTTTTGGTGCAGGCACAAATATCAGACATTTGCTTGGGTAAGGGATTGTTGTTACTTTGTCTTGTTTATAAGAGTCTTACCTTCCGTTCAGAAGACGACCGTCTATATAAGAATAAATATAGACAGCAGCAGCAGCAGCACAGTATTAGAGGCCTCCCAAAGACCAGTGAACAATTCCTCCCATGCAATTTTGTTTTTGTAAAACAAAAACAAGTTCAAACTAGTTAAGGCCGAGGCTCAAATCACTGACAAAGGAGATAAGTCATTATGTGCCAAATATTTATTTTTTAAAATGTTTATTACAGAATAAATTCATTTAGGGAAAATGAATAGTACATCTTTTTCTCCAGTGTACAGCAAACCACAGCTGACGAGTGTGTTTCAACCATAGCACACAGGGCATGTTTAACACATGCAAACTTTGGTGTGCTAATCATGTGTGTATGTTCTATAATGAATATAAACACAAATATATTTATATATATCTATACACATACACATAATGAATAGAAATCATAAACCATGAGATGTCATACCATTTCTAGGCCCTTGATGTTGCAGCAACCTATCAAAACGCTGACCCAGCTGCCAGAGTCTGAAAACTACATGTCTGCAACAGAACTTTCACTCTAGCTTTCTCCATTTGATAGTCTCTCAAAAAAACAAAGCACGTCAGTAACAAACACCATACGGTGCTACAGTCTCTGCAACAAACCCTGGCAGTGCGCACAGAGAAGGAGAGGAGTTCAGGCCCAAACACAATGGGATCCACAGCTGCAGTTCATACATTACCAGTCCCACTGTCTGCCACACTCTCATCATGGCTGCCGAAAACACTGTCCAGTAACACTCAAGCTGAACAGGTAGTGGGGGTTGTTCCAGGGAAAAGCAAAGAAAAGAAAACACGGCATGTCATACATCACCTTTTACACACCCCTTCAAACAAAGTGTTGCATGCTCAGAAACCAGGGGTACACAGTCTGCTATGGACTGGACGTCAGTCGGACGATTATGAAGAACGAGTTTCCAGAGAAAGAGTCTCCTCGCGCCCCACAAGTGGTCAAAAACAAGAGCTGCGTCTGTCCCTCTGAGAAGTGCTGATGTGTGTGTGCTGGCAGGATCAATGATGAAAAAAATGTATGTGGAGAAAAAGGCTTAAAAGCGAACTCTGAAAGCCTAGTAAGACTGAAGTACGCGGTGTCATTGGAGCCAGAAGTCCCAGAGCTCCAAGAGTGGGTCAACCGCTCTACTGCACTTCAAAAGAACAGACAAAGTTAAAATTAGATCAACTGTTGGCTCAGCACTACTGGAGGTTAGAGGGGAGAAGGTAGGAAGCTTGGCAAATCACAAACAAAGAAAAAATAAACATGACAAGTCACCAGTTCTGTCCATTGGATTAGTTAATAAAGGTCGTCTAACATTCACCATCATCATCGCTGTGATTTTCCCCCATCAAGTCAAATAAAACTAAACCTCGTAGTTCATGATCTGCCGGCGTGAGCAGGTGTCTGAAAATGTTGAAACGGCAGAGATGTCCGCTCTTACTCACACCCCCTGACCAACCAAACAACACCCCCACGCCCCAAAAATATAAAACTAACAAGAAACAAATGAATCCAGAAAAGGGGAGCCCTCCTTCTTCTCAGGCGGAGAGTCGAACACAACTCCCAACGTCCCATGTGCTGTGGAATGAGGAGGTGAGATACTGATGGAAGGATGTGAAATTATGCGGATAGAAATGTGAGCATTATGGTGGTCAGTCGTCAGCTTGCAGATCCTTTCACAAAGGGGCACTATTGACCTGAGGTCCTCATCTGCTGAATTCCAAATAAAACTTGATCTGACCTCTAATAAAATCTGTACATTTATTTTAAAAGTCTTCATGATTAGTTTGTCCAAAGGGGACATGTTTTCCATTTGTTTGTTTATTTTTTCTTTCAACATATATTTATTAAATCTTTATCTGCTCTTTAATTTAGATGCTCTTAGTCCCATCGTGTGTGTTTGTGTGTATGAAGAAAAGACGCCGCCGGCCTTTTGTGGATGGCTTCGAGTTTGCTAGCAGCACTTTTTCTTTCGTTTACTGTTCCGGGTGAGTTTGACCACATCGTTCTGTTGCTGCTGCTGCTGCTTGGCGAGCACCTCCTTCTTGGCCCTGAGCACTAGCTCTGTAATGCAGTTGAACATCTGCGGGAGAAGCACAAAAACAAGGAAGTGAGGCAAGTGCTGCAAACAGTCTGATTGGCCACATCAAGCAGCATTTGTGCTGTCGGGGGGGGACTAACTGTGGCCAAAATCTGTTTGATATGTCAGAGTGTGGATCAGTACTCAAAACAAACCTGAGAGTCCACAGCTAGCATTAAACAAACAGGCTGTTCTTGCTGACAATGTCAATCGCTCTCATATCTGTCCATTCAATATGAAGCTTAGGTTAGCATGAAGACTGGAGACAGGGCAGCAGTCTTTCTGCTAAGCTAAGTCAGCCATATGAGGAAGATTTCTGTGATGCTATGAGACCAGTACATTAAAAAGTCAATTTGGAGCATTCACTCAGTGTGTGGGCTACAGTCCTTTTTTTCATGAGCATGTTAGTAGACCAGACAATGAATTGTGAAAATAATCAGCAGATTAACTGACAATGAAACAACTGGTAGGTAGTTTCAGCTCAAAATGTGTTCCCCAAATGTTCCCACCAGCAAGCCACTAAACCTTCATGGCCCAGCTCAAGCCTTCAGGTGAGCTGCTCTGTGTACCAGGCAGGTCCCAGAGAGTACTCTGCACAAACACATCAGTATGCACCAACAGAGGCCAGAGACAACCGAAGCAGCGAGTTACCTCCTCAACATTGATATTCTCTTTTGCACTCGTCTCAAAAAGGCTGATTCCCATCTGCTCTGCAAACTTTTGCGCGTCAGTCGTCTCAACCACCTTGGAATTGGGGTCGTCGTTCTTGTTTCCCACTGAAATTAAAAATAAAAAAAAAACAAATGTCAAGGTGATAACAGGCCTACCCTGAGTTTATAGCAAGGAACAGGTCTTTACACTGCTTCTAAATAAAAAACTGTGTACTGGAGTGAAAGCTCGAGTTTGCTTTTGGATTGAACTGCACTGTGCAGACTGGAAGGTAGCACGCTCACCTAATATTCGGCACACATCATCACAGTTCTGGTTGATTTCATGTAACCATCGTTTGACGTTGACGAAAGACTCTGCACTTGTGACATCGTATACCACTATGACGCCATGTGTGCCTCTGTAGTATCTGCACAAGCAGAGGGAGAGAGACATAGTCTGCCATTAACATTAGGTAGCTCAGAGTCCCAGAAATTACACTTGGATTAAAACATACATCCACATTGTGTCAGCTAGAACAGCTGAACTCCACACTCCAATTACAAGTCCATGAAAAGTGAGCAGAAATTCAAACTGCTAACCCTAATTGATAAACAGTGGAGATAGTCATCTTAAACTCATGGGCAACTGTTTCAGTAGCAAAGTGTAACAGATTAATGGTTTAAATGGTTGGATACAAATAATTTACAAACATCTGAAGTAGTCGTATAACTAATCAATAACTATTTCAACTATAGACAAAATAATTGACACATAGTGGACATAGCTTAAAGCATTTGGTACATAAAAGAACATTAGCTTAATAGAAACATAGAAAAATGCTTAACTAAAATAGGAAACAATAGAAATTCTTAACTAAAGGATGCATTATAGGAATATTCATCTAAAAGTAATAAACAGTAGGAATGCCTGCTGACTGAACGATGGCTAGTGAGCTGAAGATAAACTGATGATATATTAGCGGTCCAAAAACAAATCAAAGAAATGCAAAAGAGACTGAAATGTCCATCTTGTGCCAGTCCAGCTGGCACAAATACAAGCTTAGTCAAACTGATATAGCCGCTGATAAACGAAATACTGTGTCATCCACTATTAAACTGTTAAACTATATCCACTTTAAAATCAATTCAAATGAACATATTTGGAACATGTGGCATCAATGAAGTGTCAAAGAGACGACACCACAGAATTAACTACTGCTGATGTCCAGCAGGGGACAGTGAGACAAATCTCACTGTGAAATACAACTTCATCTTAAAATTGTAATTAAAAAAAAAAAAAAGACTCCTTAAAATGAGCGATGAATCGATAGGTTTTTTTGAAATTAGTTCAGCAACGCTGATCATCTGGCAAAAACATCTAACTGTCCAGAGTGACTCCACGAACATTACTGAAAAGTAGCTGCACAGTTTAAATGACGGCTACAACAGCACTGAAATCCCCCCCCCCCACAGACGACTAAACCACAATGTGACAGCCAGACAGTTCAAATGAAAACCTGCAAGTGTCAGACAAAGGCCAGGCCCCACAGAGGGAGCATCGTGCAGTGTACAAACACAAAGAACCTTTTGTCCAACTTGCTCTGTATGCGTGTGTCAGTGTTGTTGCCTGATGTGACAGTATGGGGATGTGGTGTTGTCCCCTCTGTCCAGCAGTAATGGGCCACCTGACAGCAGGGGTGGCTGTGTGCGTACACATGTGCTCAGTGCACATGAATAGAGAACCATAAACTGCCAAACACACACAGTAAGTGGGACCCAAACTGCAGCCACCTTCTCTGCAGTAAAGCTCTGCACAAACAACCTAATAAAATGTTAATACACTGAACTTCGCACTTGAAAATCATCAATCAAGGGGCGCACTGGTAGTTCACTGTAGTAATTCCACATTTCTGGGGACAAAATAAAGACACCCTCATTTGTTCTTTGGTTTGCAGCCCCAGAACAGTAAGCATGGACATGTCACTGTGTCATAGAGGTATGAGGGTGGGAAAGCACCCCAACTTCACAAATAAAATGAGAAACCCTGTCAGAATAAAGGCATGAAAACTCACTACAAAAACTTGTTAAAACTCTAACATGAAGACCTGTAGAGGTTAGTCACAAGGCACATAGTCCATCAAACATCTTCCACAAGTGGACTGAGCTGGTTTCTGACCATCATCCATCTCCACAGTAAAATTCATTTAGAGCCCGATGAGGCACCAGGCCGCTCTACTTCACAAAACAATGGAAGAATTCCTGCAGAACAACTGGTGGCCGTAATTCCAAACGGGGACGGTCATTATCCTCCAGGGCTGAGGCGCCAGCAGAACACATTTGAAGCTTTCTGGGTGATTTTGGTGCCCTCACTGCAGAGGGGCCAGTACATCATTAAAACTCTCAAAACACACCCTTCTGGTCTTGTTCCTGACCAACTCAAGGCTCAGACAGTGAGCGTTGAATGTTTCTGAAGCACAGCCTCTGTCTGCTGCAGTCAAAGTCACAGAGGGTTGAGAAGGTTAGATGACTGCAGTTTGAGCTGAATGTCACACCACTGTTGTCTCCGTCTGTGCTGCTCAGACGCTGACTCCTCGTGGTGGGAGTGAGCGTGACTACACAGCTCTTATTTTTAACACACTGGGTGTCAGTTCAAGCTTGTAAATGTCAATTGCACAGCAACTGAAATGATGTTCCAGCTGGGCACTTTACAAGGAAAAATAAATCCTGAGTTTTAAAGTGTGACTGTGAGACAGTATCTGGTTTCAGACACAGAGAGGGACGCCTCAGTAAGATGAGCACAGGAGCAAACTATGCCCCAGCAGCCTGGATTTCCAGATCTAGACTCATGCAACGCCTGAACAGTGAGCAAACTCAATTATGAAGCAAACAGGTTGATCGCTGCCATCACTACCAATGATGCTTTGCCTTCTTTAGTTCATTGAGCTGTTGAGTAATCCTATAGCAGTTTATTCTTTGGGGTGTGGTTTGTAAGTGATGTGAACAAGGTCGTTCAGAGAATATGACCCAATTCTGACGTCTCTCTCATCTCTGCAAACTCAACGTCTGCTGCTCACTGGCCCTCAGCTTCATTGTTCTGATTCACTCTCCCTGCTCTCATCCGTGCCGTTTTCATACACAGTGGTTTTCAGTGAAAACCCTCTAAAGACCAGCACATTGATTACCATTATAAGTATGGCATTAGCAGCAAGGCAAGGCCAGTTCATTTATATAGCACCATTCTGTACACAAAAGCAAGTCAAAGTGCTTAACTCAGTGCACACAAACAGAAAAAAAAACATTAAAATGCAAAATAAATGCAACAATTACATGACAGCACAAAGTAAAAACGTGCTAGTGTAAAGACTGGGTACTTTTAGGACAGCTGCGGCAGACTGTGGGTTCTCACTGTTCTCAACATACTATGTGTCCCTTTGTACTCCAGTGCAATCAGAAAGGGCGATGACTGTGTGGAAAAGACGCCAGTTACAGACCAGTTACTGACAGAGATGCTGCCCTGCACAAAAATCATTTACAATACAGTCCCTAAGAAAATCACTTTGCTTTAACTGCCTTTTCTAGACCACATATCTAAAAACAGTCACCTGGAGGGCAACTACTGCTGTGACCTATTAAAACCTTACACCAACGTGATGTCATCCAATCTTATTCATTAGCATTTTGCTGTGAGCTGTAGGAGTTGAACCAAAGGATGCAGTGTGTTTTGAAAGCTTGCCCGACTGGGCAAAGAGTTTCCATTTGAGTGAAGTAAGCGGCTGCGAGTTTGTTTTGCGCTTTGAAGCTGTGACTCAGCTGAGAACAAACTGAACAGACAGCTAACAAAAAACAAACATTACAGATAGATATAAAAACCTGCCAGTCAGAGCTCACAGGGCTCAGGGTTGGACATGTCTGACATCTGTGTTTGTATGAGTGAAGTCATTGCTCTTGTGTTGCAACAAAGAACAATAACAATAATGTGGGTTAAGTTTGAATGCAAGTGTGAGAAAACCCACCAAATGCAAGTGCTGCATTTAAAGAATAATACTGGTGTCACTTTATAGCAGGGCTATCACTACCGATTCTGAGCAGCTTGCCTAAAGGTTTACAGAACATACAGTGTGTAGTCTACAGTGCACGCATTATAAAACTGAAAATGCTACATAACAGAACTTGAACAGAAGCGGAGTAAACCTGCTCAAACTGCAATCCAATCAAATACACAGATGTCCCGCCCTCCTTTGGTACCAAATCATTATTTGCCAATCACCTGTCAATCAAATGAGTTACGCTGCTGTCAAGACTGGTGCCGTCAGTTACACTGTTCAGTGATGTTAGCAGCATTTTTGGGTAATGTTGGGTTAAGCCATAAAAGTCTTCACCTAAATGAAATGCTAAACATGGAACGTTACTGTAGAAGAAAGAGGAGGTACGTTGCCATAAATTCAGTCAGTTGTGCTGCGGCCTGCAGCATGTTAGGCTACATTTCAGTAAATCAAGTAACACTAATCCACTATTAGCACTTCCTGTTTGCCAACGTGCCATTGGATGCCTTGCCAACTGTCAATAGGTTGGTTTGATACCCTGTCAAATACTTGGCCTTATAAGGAGCGTCTTTTTCTATGTTTCCTAGCAGGGTTGTGGACGTTTGTTTGCAGTGGACATCTGAGATCATGATATCCTCGGAAATTTTAAGTAACACTAAATGTTTTTAATCAAACTGTGGCAGTCGGGCACCAAGGGGTTTTTAGCAGCCTACCTTAACTGCTTCCATTGTTGTTTGTGTTGATAAGGAGCCAAACCAAAATTACTATCTTTCCACAGTTTTTATAACACCTACAGTCCATGCACTCTATAAAATAAGGTTTTGATATATGAAAGTAATGGTAAATGGTCTTATACTTGTATAGCGCCTTTCTATGCTTTACAGCACACTCAAAGCGCTTTCACACTACTTGGCCATTCACCCATTCGCACTCCCAAACACTCACACATTCACACACCGGTGACATCACCGGGAGCAACTGGGGGTTCGGTGTCTTGCTCAAGGACACTTCAACACACAGAAGTCGGAATGAACTGCCAACCCTGTGGTTGGGGGATGACCCACACCAACTCCTGAGCCACAGCTGCCCCCATGAAGCCATGAGGAACATCGTGCACATGACCATGGCGGTTTAATGTGATGACTACTGTTTATGTACAAAATGTGCTGATATTAATATTTGATAATTGTTACACAAAACAATTTGCTTATTCAGCTACTTTGGTGTGGAGATCTGTTTGAAGGTTTGGATACAATATGTGATTGAATGTAGATAGTAGCCTAATATAAAACATGAGTAGCTTTCATTTTTAGTAGCTTCAAGTAGCTGTCTGAGGAAAAAAAGGTTGGAGACCCCTGCTTTATAGTTTCTATTATCACTGATAATTTACCTGTAGAGACTAACCGGGATTGTCTGTATGTCATGAGGCAGATTATTCCTCTGTGCCATTGTTCCTTTATGCTGTTTATTTATTTTTATTTTGCATCAACACAGATCTACTGCACAAATACAAAGGCTACACCAGGCTTTATAAAAAGATCACACTTTTTGGTTTTGGTCAAATTGAGATGAAAACAATATCAGTTACCTGTTTAAAAAGAAAGCTTAGCCCTAGATCAGCACGAGTGCAGAGCCCCATGAATGCCACACAGCACCAGACACAAGTGTGATACATGTGCCATGTGTACGTGGGTAAAGCTACTTTAGCACTACAGAATGAGACCAGGAGCCTCCCTCTCACATCTGTAATTAGAATGTGTGGGGAATTCCACCCACTTTCTCAGCATAGCACTGAGTTTTTCTAGCTGTCTACAAACTGCTTCCTCAAATAATGCCTAATGTGAAGACCACAGAAAACCTTTCCTGGTTTCAGTTTCAATGGTTTGAATGAAAATGAAATGCTTCACCTGAAAAGTCCTGGTGAATGTGCATCAGCGGCTGTACTTACGTGGAGGTGATGGTGCGAAAGCGCTCCTGCCCTGCTGTATCCCAGATCTGTAGCTTCACCTTCTCCCCGTTGATCTCCACCGTCCGGATCTTAAAGTCCACTCCAATTGTGGTGATATAGCTACCTATGAACACACATACAAACACAATATCAAGTGATTTTATGTGCTTCAGCATAAAAGTCTTGAAATGACATACTACAGTTGCTGAGGTAGAACCACACACCTGAAAATGTGTTGTCTGCAAATCGCAGTAGCAGACTGCTCTTCCCCACTCCTAAAGAAGAAACAAGCACAGGATGAGGTTTAGAGTACAACATAATACCTGACTTGTAGCTTTCAAACAAAACTCTACAACTGTCTGAGGACAAACACACTGAGTTTTTAGGATATAGGTTTTTAGTTTCTCATATCCTAGTTACCCAAGAATAACACACCACCATGTGATGACTGCAAACAAAATACAAGACGTCAAACGGAACACTTGCTGTAATCCTTGTTTACCTAGAGATTTAATAAAGATGCACAAACAAGGCTGAACCTGCCGCAAGGTGGACAGGATAAAAGATTCAAGGTAAGCAAGGCTACACCCTTGACTTTCATTTAAAGCATTTCGATGCTGAATCAGTGTAACAGCAGCAGAAAGGAAAAACAGCAACTGCAAGATGCATTCCAAAGCAAAAAGATGCAAGACAACAATTGGAACATCGTGGTTCCTAAAATTGTTATTGTGCATGGTAAACAGGTTATAGGTACACAGATGCAAGACAACAATTGGAACATCTTGGTTCCTAAAATTGTGATTGTGCATGGTAAACAGGTTATAGGTAGAGCTACACAACAGATCAATGCAGAGGCAGTGGGACAGGGATTTAAAAGGGAAGACAGATGAGAGATTGGTAGTGTGCCTTCAGCTGATCAGTTGTCAGATAAGAACTGGAAATTAGGAAGCAACTCTGCTGGCCAGCCTGGGTGGGACTCAAACCTGCAGCCCTGTTGCATAGCTTACCTATTGTGTTATTGTCATCTCATGTTTGATTGGTCCTCACATAAAAAGCCCATAGGTTCCTGTGGACTCCATGCTGCAGAGTTTTGTTCAAGCAAACAATAGCTAGCCAAAGCTTCAAAGCAGAAGAGAGGTAATCTTTTTGTACTTGTGAAGCTGTAATATGCAATTCCAGCTGCCTGGCCAAACAACAACAAAAACACCATCTGCCTAAGAAGCTAAAATACATTTATATGCCTCAGGATCCTCTACAGATCTTGTAGAGGAGTGACACTGAACATCTAAAGTGTTTAATGAAATGCTTGGCAGAATTTTGTTACACATCTGAGCTAGAGTTAGGCCACTTTTAGTGAGCACATGTGGCATGTGCATGTCCTACTGTGACAGGCCAGAAGGTAAACAAGTCCAGCTAAGTGATAAAACCATCCAGTTTGTGGAATGCCTGATTCTTAGCAGCAGATCTGTTGGCATGCAGCTAAGGAAGGGCACAAGGTCACAGCATCCTTCCTAAATGATCTCAGGGCAGTGCTACAGACAGTTGTATTTCCAGGCTGCAGCTGAGTGGACACTGGCCTCTGTGTGTGAGTGGGAGTGAAGGGCTTTGCTGTGCTGCCTTGCCCTCTACCACCAGCAGCCAGTTGATGGGGTAGTGCCAGGATCTAGGCTGTCAATGAATGCATAGATCACTATCCACAAAGAGGTTCTGCAGGATGAGGCTCTACTCCCACTGAGGGTATGGACAAATAGCAGTCTTAATAAAATGTAAACAGATTTATTATGCATCTACACTGTGTGCCAAAGGTTTTACCATAGTAAAGAACCTAGACAGAGCTAAGGTAACAACTTTGATAGTCTCTGAACCTCAGAAGCTTTGCAAACACATGCACTTAAATGAGTGATAGCTATTACACCTGATACTGACCACTTTGTAAGTCTCACTTCACTATACTTTGCCTGGATGGATACAAACGAGACTGCAGTGCTGCATTGCTCCACTACCACGCAGCTAGCACTATCATGCTAGCCAGCTAAAGGAAAAGTATTTTGATAACTTAACCTAACGTAGCTGATTAGCACCATACAAACAACATAATCTGTCATTAGTTTATGTAGACAGACCGCTAACGTTAGCTTTCAGTTAGCTACATAACCATGGCTCAAAGTGTAATTTTATCCTAACTTCTGGCTAGCAGACAGCTAGCAGGAGATACAAACAAGAGGCCAAATTAGAGCAGCAATGTTATGGAGACCCCCGTACAGTTCCGTGCGAATTCCCCGGCTGATCTGGAGGCGATATCCGGCCTGATCGGCTGACATGCCGAGCCCGGACACACAACCTCCGCCCTGTCACCGCCACATAAATTTGGCGGATGTGTACATTTCATATTATTTCAACACATAAAATAAAAAATAAGAAGTTGTAAATACGTCAGAGAAGTGCACGGCAGAACTGGAGCTATATTTGTGCTTCTCTCCCTGTTAAAAAAATACGACAAGGCCCACTTCCCGTCCCACATCCCCGGCGTCGTCTTACCGCTGTCACCGATAATGAGCAGCTTGAAGAGGTAATCGTAGTCCCTGGCCATGCCGGTAGCTGGTGGCTAACCCCCGCCTTGTGCCGCTTCTTTGCTCGGTTTTCTATCCGGCCCTCTCGGCGCGTAAAAAAGAAGTAGCCCCCAGATCCCCAGTATGAAAGAAAACCACCACTACAGATGCTGGAAAATGTTAGCCCCCAAGTCGGCGGCGTTTTTCTCGGGTATCGCGGGGTTGGCAATCCTCACTCTCCGCTGCAAACAACCGGAAACTCCGCTTCCTTCTCTGGTGGCGCTGCACCCAGCTGTGAACCGGTCTCACTGCGCAGGCTCCTGCTACAGCACAGCCGTCCTACCTTACTGGTGAACACTAGGCTAGCCCCAGCAAGTGACTCTCAATCACAGAGAGCCTCTTACTTGCCAAACGTTTTAACTCCGTACCGTCGTTTCATAACACTCACCCAACATCTGAATGCATTTCCCGAATCATTATAGATTCTTCTAACGATACGGAATCAAAGATAATCCGGTCAAGTCCAGAAAAAATATAATTTTAATCAGTTTCTCGGGTCATACAGTTTTTATTTTAGCTAAGAGAGACGGCGACAGGAAATGACGTCGTCACTCTGGCTTTGCTTGAAAGCGGCTCGACTTCATGAATGTATTAAACCATTTCAATAATTTCACTTAATTTTCAATAAAACATTCAATAATGCAATAACATGTATATAGGTTTCAATAAGACATGTACTATTAACTTTCACTAAAAAAAGCGAGAACGTCATTTCCCGCCGCCATCTTAACTTTTCAACTGCACAAATGCTTTTCCTTGAAAAACTGACAAAATTAGTATTTCTCCTGGCCTGGACTGGACTAGTTTTGATTCTGTGTCGTTAGAGGAATATATGAGGATTCTGGAAATGTCTTCAGAAACTGTGTGAGCGTTATGATATGACGGGTATGGGGTCAAAATGCTCTGTGAATGGAGTGTATGCAATACACGAAAGTAGCAAGCTGGGGCCAGACTCAGGCAACGAGAAAGCCATTGGACAAGCACCTCGGTGATTCGCATCTTACAAGTGGGTCCAGTGAATGGCAGGGTTATTCACATTTCTTTAAAATTAATCTAAACAACAAATTGCATTAGATATATACACCGATAACCACCAACCATAGACTCTGGTAAATCCACCATCTTTTATTGACATGACTGCTACGCCACAAAAAAATTAATGTCCAATCATACGTTTGAACACTTCCCACTCAGAAGCAATCCTGTTGATGATAGAGCGCCTAGAGCCCTAGACACCTGGTGATGCTTCAGACAGTCAAGGTGACACTCCAGGGAGCTAAAGTATCCAGACCCCTTCAATTTTCTTTTGTATACCGTTTGTATATTTAATTTTAAACTGATAAAACTGACATTTTTGCACCATCAGTCTACACTCGACATATGACATTGTGAAAACATGTTTAGAATTTTTCCAAAAATAATACAAATCGAAAATTTAAATCTCTTATTTACAAAAACATTCAGACCCTTTGCTGTCATTCTGAACTGTGGTCAGGTGCATCTGGTTTGCTTTAATCTTCTTTGAGATGTGTCTAGGACTTGACTGGAGCTCACCTGTGTCAAACTGAATTGACTGGATATAGTTGAGGAGGCACACACCTCTGTATAGAAGGTCCCACAGTTCACACTGTATATGTCAGGAGAAAACCAAGCCTGAAGTCTAAGAAACTCTCAGTAGAGCTCTGTGATAAAGCAGTGATGAGCCATAGCTCAGAACAAGAGAATAAAACCATTTCTAAGGCTTTTAGTGCTCCCAGAAGCACAACAGTCTCAAGAATTGTGAAATGGAAGATGTTTGGAACCACTGGGGCTTCATTCCTTGAGTTGGCCGTCTGGCTAAACTGAGTAATCAGGCATGAAAGGCCTGGGTGTAGACTAATGGGCCAAATTTGGCAGATTTATATGAAGCTACTGTGGTCCTCACCTGTACCTGTACTGAAAGTCTGAAATGCCAGTAGGTAGTGCACAGAGAAACACAGAGTGATAGGTGTGTCAGTGACTCCTGACCTCATTGTGAAGGAAAGGAGCATTCTAATATTTCACACACCACATTATGAAATCAAGATGTTTTTATTTTGTATTGCCTTTTTACAACCATCTCACTGACAAAGAATACTTATCATTCTTTAAAGAGGTGACTTTTCTCCCCAAACAAGTCCAAAAGTTAAAGATAGGGGTATCACTTCATTACCGTAATGTCTTAAATGCTTGAAATCATTTAGGTAAAATAAGTTGCAAAACACTGAAACATCAAGGCTTCTTAGCCACAGCTCAGTAGAGGAGAATATCCTGCACAATATGACATAAAATAAAAATTATCAATCGGGCTTAAAGGCCACTAAAACAAAGATGCAAAGTGAGAAGGGTGTGGGGAGAATTTGTGGGGAACCATTCAAAACACTACCCATCTTCGTTTTGGTCCAACGTGGGCATGTGTGTTGAGTTTGTCTGGGGCTCTCATACAGTGGAGATTTGTTGACATGACTTCAGCAGATGTCATTTCATTGCCCAGGCCTTCCCCCATCATGTTAGGATAGTGTCATCAATCTCTTCATTGGAGTCTGGTAGGCTGGCAAGTTTCTTCAAAGACCGGCGGTGACACTCTGACAGTAGGTCGTTACTTGCGGAGTCCAGAATGGCAATAATATTCTGAATTGCAAAAAGAGTGAAAACTAAAACTGAGAAAAACTGTTTTCCTCTGTATGAACTGTAATGTACTTATGTATGTACTGTATGTACCTATACAATTTTGTGTTATGTAAATAATGTGTCTGCTACTAACATGCTGCTGACCCGATTAGGTCCCATACATCCTTTTTTATTTGTTCATATTTTTATATTGACATACAATTTTGTGTTATGTAAATAATGTGTCTTTTAAGCCAAGAGCTGCTGGAAAAAATTTCGTTGTGCTATGCATAATGACAATAAACATTCTTGACTTGACTAAATGACACTAGAGGCAAGCTGTAGTCTAACCTGCATGGTTTCCTCTCCCTGGCGGAGTCGTAGCAAGTTGACGATGGTGTGTTCACTCTGGGCTCTGACGCTGGTGTTCTTGTCCTTGGTGTTGTCCAGCAGACTCTTCAGCAGGGGCTTAATGTGATTGTCCTCCATTGAGGGTGTAGCTGGGTCTCTGAACACCCACCACAGCACCCGTTCTGACACCAATCTGATGTCACTGGACTGATTCTGAAGACACTGTGATCACAAACACAACAAATGTCACAACACACAACCTGCATCCATTACTCAGTGTAGAAGGAGGTGCACAGTAGTCATCCTTCTACATACACTCTTAGGGCCTCGTGTCTTCATTTACATCTAAATGATACTTGTAGGTTTTTAAAATTCATAATTTGTGACTTATCTGACTCAAGGTCCTGAGGTTTCAAAGAAAAATATTAATTCACCCGGTTTTTAATGGGCTGAATTTTATCTGCCTCCGGCAGAGCTTTGACCAAATCCCAGGGGAGGCTGGAAATATTGAGTCCGAGTGGACCATATTCTCCACCTCCATTGTCGATGCGGCTGTTCGGAGCTGTGGCCATAAGGTCTCCGGTGCCTGTCGTGGTGGCAATCCCCAAACCCGGTGGTGGTCACCGGAAGTATGGGATGCCGTCAAGCTGAAGGAGTCCTTTTGAGCCTGGTTGGCCCGTGGCTCACCTATGGCCATGAGCTTTGGGTCATGACCGAAAGGGCAAGATCCCGGATACAGGCGGCCAAAATGAGCTTTCTCCGCAGGGTGGCCGGGCGCACCCTTAGAGATAG